GGGGGGGGTATGGGAAAGGGAGAGGAACAGAAACTGAGAGAGGGATGGAGACACTCACAGATGGATGATGGGATATATCGAGCCTCTGAATTATAATGGTACAGCCTGGGAATACATGGAAATGGCGCACATATAGACCGCTTTCTAAATGTCACTATAGATAATAATTAGGCACTACAGCAACCAACACACACATAGTCTAAGCTGGAAAAGCAGGTAATGGGATTTAATAATTGCCCACATGCATTTTGGGTTGTTTTTTGAACTGGGCAACAATGCAAACAAAAGGTAGAGTCCTGTATTCATTTAGAAGATAGCAACTGATGGGAGAACACACTTTATCATTTCCCATGTTCATCCATTAGATTGGGAAAACCTATACAATAATATTAAGGGTCAACTCAGACTTACTGTATGAAAGTACAACCCTGTCATCGTACATGAGTTTGAATTTACAATATTTTTACCAAATAGTAAAAAAATGACACAATTACAATTTTCTTTAACTTTCACAATCAAACTATATTCTTTTGAAATAAGTTGAACTGTCCTGGTTCTCGAAGGATGCCAAGTGTTTATCCCAAACTTAACAGTAACATTCCCAGAAGAAGAAAAAAGTGTATGTAGATGAATAGCCTTTCGTGATAATTTGTCATGCAACTACTTCCAACTAATCAGTTTTAAAGCACGCTTTTGTCACGACTATTAATTGCCCAAGTAATTGGAATTCAGACACATTTCACCCGTGACAATCAGAAAATCCTCACTCACACGCACTTTAACTACAAAAACATCCACACATAGTGCAAATAAACACACAACCCAGCGGGAAGAGGTCGTTAAGCAGCTATTGTTGTGTTGCTCTCTGCTCAGCATGATAACAGTTGATTGATAGTGAGGTTCCTCAGCTAATTACCTGGCTACCACTTTAAATGTGCACCGTTTTGCAACTGATGCCACAACTGAAACAGCAAAAAAGACACTCAGCACCAACACAAAGGCAAATAAACATACAACAGTGAAGATACAGGACTACGCACATGCATAAAATCTCGTCAGAAGCTGAAAGCAACTGCCCAACATTCGTCTCCGTTCCTCACAAGTTAACTCACCTGCTCCGAGTGACCAGCTGAAAGCTTTCAAATTGGCCTTGGGTAATCTTCCTCCCTCTCGGTCTCTTCACTCTCTCGGTCCCTTTGGCACCTCTCTCTCTCTCTCTCACTGTGTGGCAGTACACGGACGTCCTACGGGCCACTCACCCTTCCTGTGTGGCTTGGCGTGAGTGCATCGATCTCTCAGCCAAGTGGTACGTTGTCCTGCTGTTTCCACAAGACTCAGATGTGCTCTCTCCGCTCACTCTGCCTCGCACAGCTGCAGAGGGAAATATGAGGACGGGCAACGTGGTTGGGTGCTGCTCCACTCTCCCTCTCTCTCCTCTCTCTCTTTAGTGAGCTGGGATGCTCTCTCTCTCTCTGTGAGGTTGTCAGCTGGTACGATGCTCACTCCTACTATCTCTTCACTGCCACTCTGTCTTTCTGTACTCAACTGCATGCTATCTCACCATCTCTTTTTTGCGGTTCCTCCATTGATTGTTCTGTCTTTTCTCTCTCTCTCTCTCTCTCTCCTTATTGATCTATGTATTTATGTCTTTGCTTGTGCAGCCTCTAGTGGCTGCTTTCTCTTCATGTCTATAACACATTTTACTCACAGAGAACATGAAGCTGGGATGACAATTTGCTCCAGGATCTTAGGTGGCACCACCATCTAAAAATTAAAACAGATACAAAAAGAATCATTAGCATATAAACATGGGACAATAACTGCATATTGATTGTTTTCAGTAGGAATGTTTTACGATTGATAGATTAACATAATCTGACGTCTTAAAGTAGCTTGTTTTGTCAAACTAACAAGGTTAAGCCGAAACCACAACATATTTTGCATTTTTCCCTGATGAGTTGCAAAGTGTTCTTATTGTTTATCAAATCATTGTTTGTTTTATGTATTGATAAGTCAATAAACAGGAAATTATTCAGAAAATAACTTGAGTTTTATTGTTCCAAGCAAAAATGAAAAACATTTTCTTCATAATTATCTTAATATCTTTTTTTTGTAACTGTTGGCTAGATAAAAGAAGACATTGAAGATGTAAACATCGACTGTATGTGAAAACCACATGTTCGGACATTTTATAGATATGCAGCCCTATAAGTGAATGGTTTAATTTGCATTTGACTTATTGCAATTTTGAATAATTTGTAATCTTGCTTTACACTCAGCTATGAAAAACTTTATTTGAAAAGTAAGCATGTAAACCTAATTACAAAAAATGTGATTATATTAAGATGACGGATGAAGAAGACTAAATAAATACAAAACGTTTTCAGTGATGGAGTTAACAGTTAGTTTAACTTATAAGTTATGGAACAAGCAGTAGTCACTGTCAGATAGCCATGTGCTTATTGACATGTAGCAAGGTAGCGAGCTACAATACCATTAGCTCGCTAAAGTTAGGTTAGAGTGGCTAGGTTTTTGTATATCTCGGGGGATTTACACATTTTGGAACAGGGCTTTAAAATTAACGTGGTCTCAACAGGATCAAATAATTAAATTAGACACATACTAGGTATTCAAGTTCGCACTGTTGACAAAATATAACGCTAGCTTGTTGTAATTGGAAGTAAGAGTTTAATGTACATTGTTTAGTATTGTTTAAAAATGGCATGTGTTTTGGGTTCATGTGTTTAAATGTTCACCACATCTAAAGACATGTGTTGGTATTTTGCCCGTATTCATATTATACTGACAATATTGAGGCAGACGTGAAATGAGTAAAGGCTGAAGATGAAGGCTGAAATACAACACAGGCCCCAGAATATTTTTCAACACATGCTTATGTTAATACACTACTACACAATGTATTGTGAATCTTCACATTTGCCACATGAAAGGCCATGCTTGCTGTGCAACTGAAAAACAGCATAACCTTCAATCACCTGTCTTACCGTGATAAAGCCTTTTGTGCAAACTCTGACTGAGGAAGTGTTTCTCCTCGTGGGTGAAGGGTTTTCTGACGTTGTTCTGCACTGAATAAAAACCACAGAGTTTTATTATTCTGAGGGAGAATCTTCAAACACAGCAGCTAAGGAGTAAAAGGTGAAACGAACATGAGCTCATCAACTGCTGATCAACTGCCGGACGGCAAAAGATACTTTGCATCAGTCAAGAAAAATGTTTGCAGGAAATTGTGGCTGTGAAAGAAATGATCTCGAATGCAAAAGTGCAGGAAATGTGTTTTTTTATGTTGCATATTTGTCAGGTTACGATTAAGAAGGGACCCGGGAGGAATACTGTTGTTTTATTTTTAGAGTGTCACACAGATGTGTTCATAGCCACACACACACTTCAACTTGTGCTTACCGTCATCAAAACAACACAGGAGTCAAAGCGTATTCACACCACAGGAGATGAACCAAAAATACCCTTGGCTTTCCATCAAACAGGACAGATAATAAGTGTGAGTGTGTGTGGAAAAGAATAATGTGTGGGCAGAATGGTAAGATGCTGGCCTACATAGAGATCCATAGGGTGCCATTAGCTTGGTATATACTAGATCGACCAGATACTGCTAATCCTATCACCACTACAAGCAACAGTTACAAGCTACAAAACAGCCACAAGCTACGCAACAAGCCACAAGCTACGCTAGCCAGCAAGTAGTCTGCACAAGCTACGCACAAGAGCTTATCATGAAGCTGTAAGTAAGCCCACAGAACACCAAGAGATAACATCATGGCTGGAGAGTACGACACACCAATAAGTCGATGTCAGAAAACTGCGGCGACCCCCTCCAAGACCGGCATTAGAGACAGGTCCCTATTACTGTAGTGAAGCATTGAACGGCGGTTCTCCTCATGCAAACACAAACCATCCTTAGCGACCTACATGCAGCAAGACAACACTGTGAACGTCCTTGCTTGCAAGAGACGCACAGAGGGAGTGAAAACATGCGCCACCATACCTGAGCTTTCTTGTAGTTGAAGCGCTTTTAATGGGCACGATGACTGGGACTGACAGCCGCATGATTAGGATCCCCAATGGGACGGTGGTTGCTTGATGGAATAGGGTCAGCACCGTCTTTTACACAGTCAGCCGATTAACTTTGTGACCATGGTGATGATCTGGTGTTAGCCACGTTTCCAGCGAGCACTGAAAAACAAGGTGGGGTAATGGGGTCAATGGATCAGACCCTTAGTTGGTTAGTATCCATCCAGTCCCTAAACTGGTTATCCATCTTGTTCATTCCAGGGTAGCCCCCACTGATACTGTGGCTGTTGAGTCACCAATAAGATCTGTGGGCCCCAGATCGTATTCGTGACTCACAGCCACAGTAATCCAGTGGGGCTACCCTGAAATGAACAAGTGGAGAAGGTATAGGCTGGAAGGATACTAACCACTAAGTCTGATCCATGACCCAAGTTTACCACACTTGTTTTTCAGTGCTCGTGGAAACGTGCTTACAACAGATCTTCAACCATGGTCACAGTACATCGCTGGGACTGTGTAAAAGAAACGGTGCTGGGACCCTATTCCATCAAGCAACCCGTCATTGGGATCTACTCAATGCGGCTGTCAGTCCCCCAGTTCATCGTGCCCATTAAAGGCGCTTCAACTACAAGAAAGCAGACTGGAAAGGTTTCACCAACGGCCTGGAAAAATATCACAAACCTGACCAGTTTAGCAGAACAGACAATTTGAACTCGGTGCCTGGAAAACTGCTCGGAACATATCCGAGGAATGTAGAGTTGAATATATACCGGGATTTTCAAAGGACCCTGTGCAGGATCCCTAGACAACTACGTCAGCATGTTTGAAGCAGATTCCCTTCCAGATGAAACAACTACCCAAGGCGAGGAGGTGGATGAAAGCCATGACCAAGAGCGAAGCAAGACCTGGAAATGCTCTTATAGAGTAACAGACTGTCCAAAAAGCAAAAGCTGGGCACTTATTCACACTACGGAAGGGTGACCCTAAAGCAGCTCTCAGCACCCAAGGGTTTTTTTTCCGCCCAAACCAAGTTGCCAACCCAATTGCTAGAATGGAAAGAGTAGAAAAGAGAGGAAAAAGACCAAAAAGAAAAAAAAAATCCCGCAAGAAATACATTGAGGACCTGCTTTTACAAGACAGCTCACTATGGGAAGAGCTGAAGGGGGAATCTCTATCCGCAAACATGAAGGCAATGAATGGATAATATATCGCACGGAACAGATCAGCCACTTCTCCAAGGCAAAGACGTGGGCTCCTACAGCTCTACAATGAGTCTTAACAACACCACAAGCCCCCTAACATCTGTAATTACCTACAAACTATATCGTTCGTCTTCGATCCTCAACAGAATTGGTGCCTTTGTTGACAAACACCTCATCCCTGAACAAGCAGGTTTCCGCCCTGGCAAGTCGACAACTAGCCAAGTACTCAACCTCACCCAGTACATCGAAGACGGATATGAGGAAGGGATGGTAACTGGTGCGGTGTTTGTCGACCTCTCCACTGCCTATGACACAGTCAACCACAGACGTCTCCTCAGTAAGATCCTGGAGACCACACGAGACACCCGCCTGACAGAGCTGATTGAAAGCATGCTTGAAAATAGGCACTTCTTCGTTGAGCTAGGAGGAAAGAAAAGCAGGTGGCGAAGACTCAGGAATGGCCTCCCACAGGGAAGTGTGCTTGCACCACTTCTCTTTAACATCTACACCAACGACCAACCAAAAAGTGTAGACACCCGCCGCTTCATCTATGCAGACAATCTTGGCACAGGTGCACAATCCACTGATTTCAAAATTGTGGAAGACAGACTCTCTAACGCTCTGGCAGAGCTAACAACTTACTATGAAGAGAACCACCTACGTGCAAACCCATCTAAGACACAGGTGTGTGCCTTCCACCTGAGAAACCGTGAAGCCAAGCGCCAACTGAAGGTCAGCTGGTCAGGAACCTCCCTTGAACACTGTGAGCACCCAGTCTACCTAGGGGTAACCCTGGACAGATGCCTCTCTTTTAAGACCCACACTGAAAAGACCAAGTGCAAAGTGAGTGCGAGGAATAACATCATCCGCAAGCTCACCGGCACGACCTGGGGTGCAAACCCACAGACTCTGAAGTCAACCGCACTAGCCCTCTGCTACTCAGCTGCCGAGTATGCCTGCCCAGTATGGGAACGAGCTGCCCATGCCAAGAAGCTGGATCCCGCCCTCAATGCTAGCTGCCGCATTATCACAGGCCTGAAATCAACACCTACAGACCGTCTGTACATCCTGGCAGGCATAGCCCCACCAGAGATACGACGAAATGCAGCAAGCAAGAAAAAGCGCCAACAACAGTCTACTGACCAAAGACATCCTCTCTTTGGCCATGTGCCAGCCAAAAGCCGCCTTAAATCCAGGAAAAGTTTCCTGAAGAGCGTCCCACCCCTCGGAACA